GGGAGCTCGGGGGGCTGGGGAGCGCGCCCCGGGCAGCCCGTCTGCAGGCTGCTTCCCAGCCTGGGCCACTTCCCCTGCGCGGGGCGAGAGCGCGGTGGGGCCCCCAAGCGAGCAGGGAGCAGCGAGGCAGGATTCAGGACCCTGGCGGCCAGTCCCACGTTCCGCGCTGGGTCACTTTAGCCCGGAGTTGTCAGGCAGGCCGGAGGGGACTAGCGAGGAACCTGCCTTGCAGCCAACTCCGCAGCCGTCTCGTCTGCAGCAGCGCAACCTGTGTGGGGAAAAGCGTCCAGGGAATGTGACAGCCCTTCCGGCCATGCTGCAGCCTGCCCAGCCTGAGACTGCAGCCAGCATATTGGGCTCGCTGGAAAATACTGAGAACTATGATTGCAAAAGAGTTGATGGAAAGTAATATTGCATCTTTTCACCTGAGAAGAGAGCCTGACAATTTAAAGCCAAGTTTGAACCCTGAGTTTAAAGTAGATACAGTAGAATGTATAGGTACTACAGGTAAGGACGGCTCTTGTGTATGGACAGGGTGGCCTCTATGTTTTGGCACTACAGGATTAGGTGTGTATCAGGTATTGGAACTTGGGGTGCTGCGGGAAGAGATTTCCATTATACAAAGGGTATCTGGTTTGGTTTAATGGCTCTCCACACCCTCACTATAAAAATTATTCCAGCACCTGGGGTATATTCTCAGAACATTAATGAGTAAGTAGCATGTGATGGTTCTCTCCCAAACAGCTTTCAACCCCAGTTTTCTTAGCAGTCAATTTTTGAAGTGATGAAAGAGGAAAACTGAACATTATTTTTATTTGCTATATCAAATATGAATGCAGTTTGGTCCTAGCAATGAAAAGTGTAGCTTTGTTTTTGTGGAAAAAAGACATTTTGCATTACACCATCTTTCATACTTTTTAAAAAGTTGGGGTGTGTAAAACGTTAACAAAACAAAGTCCACTTTGCTATTGAGTTTTATTCCACAAGGAACAGACATTTGCCAACTAAGCAATGTGTTGAGTTCTCTTGGAATTAGTCCCAGGAAAACAGCAGAAGTTAACCAAAGAGATATATTTGAAGTCAGAAGTTGGCATGTGCGCACGTGTATGTTCATAATCCATTAGGCTGTTTGATTTTTTTTCTGAGTAACAATCTAAGGCAAAAGTAAAGTTTTACTAACATTGTCAAAACAACAGCCAATAACATGACAGTTTTGAAATATTTTCAAAAGGGTATAAGTAGGACTTTGGAAATGAGACTGAATAGTTCTGCATATTTATTTTCTTGTTTGCAGTGTTGTAGCTGTGTTTTGGTACCCAGAAACAGAGAGACAAGGTGTGGGAGGTAATATCTTTTATTGGACTTGCTTTTGTTGGTGGAAGATATAAGTTTTTTAAGCGTCAGATAGCTCTTCTTCAGGCCTTGAAAAAGTAAGCAGAGTTTCACTAGATAAATTCAGGGTGGAAGTGAAATTGTTAAACATAAGGGAATTAAAAATGTTGCAGAAAAACACTTAAAATGAAATGGGCAATTAACACCTCTGCATTCATAGAACAAAGGAGGATTAGTATGTTACAAATTGTTGTAATGAACCATGGAACTAGTGCCTCTATTGAGATACTGATTTTTAGTATCTAGCAGAGTTATGAATTTAAGTTCCTGTGTTGGTCTTTTGAAGGTGTTGTACTGATTTCCTTTGAGGACTAGAATTGATAGATATGGACCGATTGTGCTGTGAAAAACATTCACTCATGCCTGACAGGGTGTCTGACTTTTTGTTATGTCTCTGTGTGAGTTTATTCAAGAGTGTAGTGATTTGTCTCTTTTCTTCTATATGTGTTGCAGTGTTTGATGTGCTGCACTATGTACTATGCATGTTGTGATAGGTATATGTGGATTTTGAAAGGTGTGGGTGTGGAGAGGGGCAGTATTGATCATTGTACCTTCAGGTTTTTGCATCTGTTGTTCTGACAGGGTCTGTTGTGTTCTGGTCTGCAGGGGGCATGCTTTGGATGATGAGCTTAGTGAGATTGAGAGGGGGGACATGCTTACAGGCCAGAAAAAAGGACTTGGTAAAATTTCAGGACAGTGCCCCCCTCAAGCATGGATTGTAATTATATTTGATGAGTCCCCCTCCGGATTCCACTGTGGGATGGTAGGTGACAACAAGGGAAGTGACACTGAGGGGGAGTTTCTTTTTTCTGTATTGAAGCAGGTTCTCTCGGGATACTTGGGTGGCCGTTCTACGATTTTTAGTATAGCTAACTCTTCATTGCATCATGTGCAGTTGTACAAGACTAAAAAGGGTCAGTAACTGTACAGAAAGACCTTTCTCCTGTAAAAATAGACTGCGGGTATTTGGAAAGAAAAGTATGATAATATTTCTTCAGAAATAGGTTGGTCAGAAGTTACTCAGCTGGAGTGCGCCCTGGCTTTTTACATTTGTCAAAAATGACTGAATTTGTCTATCACATCTCAATTATGAATTTAGGCATTCCCATAAAAGTGACTTGATTTTTCAATAGTGAACAGCCTCATCTTCCAGAAAGTAAATATGAGTTGTGCTTGTTCAGCATCTTAATAAAATCAGACCACCTTTATGATGGTGCCTAAATTCATTTTTAGATTTTTTTTAATTGTAGGCACCCAAATTAGAAAATGTATGTAGATGCAGTGTGCCGGCAAAGAGAGCAATGAAGATAGTGCAACTCTTAAGATATATACATTCAGTTGTAACCTAAAAGTGACCTGTCAAATCAGATACAGAAATTAGCCAGAGAAAGAACATTTCTTGATCCATTGACCTCTTTTCCATTTAGTTTTCATGGGAAAAGTTTTGGGGAAAAATAGGTAAAGACTCATATGCAATTTAAAGATACACATTAAAAATATATGTAACTATTCCAGTGAGAACTGCAATTTATACCTGTGGATTTTTTAAACTTGCTTATGCATTAGGTAGTACATCAGCCTTTCACAAAGACAGCATCTGTGTCTAGCTCCCCCCAAGCGCCCTTTCCCTTTCGGCTTAATGTACAAGTCAGCAGAAAACAAGTTTCAATGAACATGCAGTAGACAGTTCATTAATCTCTGAATCATTGACACTATAGGAGCCATTATGGTCCATAATGACAAAACAGTACGTAATGTGAAATTTAATACGCTAATTACTGACAAGCACATTATAAATAACATTTATAATGAAAACACTGAGAAATCCTTAACTGCTACATGCAGCTATACAGGAAAGCTTTAAATGTCAATTTACAACAGCTTTGCATAGAATAAATTGAATGCATTCAATAATGCAGAATAAAGTGCTTAAAGGAAACATTTTATGCCTGCAAAGAACAAGAGTTATAGTTTTCTCTAGTAAGCCTTTAAAATAACCAGCTTGTAAAACCTCAGTCATTTCAGTGAATTTGCATCATGAGCCTAAATAAACTGTGCAAAAATTCTTTTATCAAATTTTGGCATGGATTACAAGGAGTGCAATTTTAAACATAAAGGCTACGTCTACACTGGCCCCAAATTCCGGAAAAGGGATGCAAAGCAGGTAAGGCAGCATAGGGAAATCCGCGGGGGATTTAAATATCCCCCGCGGATTTAAATAAACATGTCCGCCGCTTTTTTTCCGGCTTGGGGAAAAGCCGGAAAAAAACGTCTAGACTGGCGCGATCCTCCAGAATAAAGCCCTTTTCCGGAGGATCTCTTATTCCTACACCTGTAGTTTTTCTTATGGAAACACCTGTAGGAATAAGAGATCCTCCGGAAAAGGGCTTTATTCTGGAGGATCGCGCCAGTCTAGACGTTTTTTTCCGGCTTTTCCCCAAGCCGGAAAAAAAGCGGCGGACATGTTTATTTAAATCCGCGGGGGAGGAGCTGTGTCTAGCACTAGTTGGAGCTCTCGTTGGCAGAGAGGTACTGGCATGAATGGAGGTAGCCTATTAATTTCTTGAGATTCAGAACTGAGGCACTTTGGTGAGGGAATGCGGGGTAATTGTTCCATTGGTGACTGTATAATACTTAATGTGGAGAACTGAAGGAGCTGGGTTTCATGGCTAAAATTTTGGCATAATCCATAAGAAAAACATTCACTAAAAATCAGTTTCACAGTTAATTTCCAAAACATTTCATTTGCTCAGAACATTCTATATGAAAATGAACAAATCTAATAAAAATCCAAGGGCCTGCTTTTGAGAGATGCTGACTGAGTACCCCCAGGTCTTGCTGAAGTTCAATGGAAGCTGCACATACTCAGCTCCTTTGAAAATCAGGCCTGCCACTGGTATGCATAAGTATTATTTCTAGGATGTTCTATGTTTTTTTTTAAATCTCTTTAATATTTAAAAGCATTTATTTTATTTTTTGAAGGCAGTGGCTGCTGTGTGCTCACAATATTATGTTCCCGTTTCCCATTAACTAGCAGCTGTTAGCTTTTTTTGTAAGCAAATGCAAGAAACGGAGAAAACTGAAACATGATATTCAGGTAATTATGCTTTTGCAGTGATCCGTCCTCTGAGGTTCTTAGAGCTTCATCAATCTTTAGCCAGTTTAAATAGACCCCCCACAGGATGGCTGACAGATTTGTCAGGCCCCTGGGCAAGTTGGGGGAGTCCCGGGCTCTACACCCAGAAGGGGTAGGGCCTCGGGCAGAAGTAGAGGACTGGGCTAATCTCCCATAGCTGGCCCTTAGAATCATAGAACCATAGAGTTGGAAGAGACCTTAGACTCCACTACCTCCCTAGGTAACCCATTCCAGTGCTTTACCACCCTCCTAATGAAATAGTTTTTTCTAATATCCAACCTGGACCTCTCTCGCCACATCTTGAGACTATTGTTCCTTGTTCTGCCATCCATCATTACTGTGAATAGCCTTTCTCCATCCGCTTTGGAACCTCCCTTCAGGAAGTTAAAGGCTGCTATCAAATCCCCCCTCACTCTTCTCTTCTGCAGACTATACAGACCCAACTCCCTCAGTCTCTCCTCGTAGGTCATATGCTCCAGCCCCCTGATCACTTCGGTTGCCCTCCACTGGACCCTCTCCAATGCGTCCACATCCTTTTTGTAGTGGGGGGGCCCAGAACTGGACATAATACTCCAGATGTGGCCTCACGAGAGCCGAATAAAGGGGAATAATCACATCTCTGGATCTGGTGGCAGTGCTCCTCTTAATGCAACCTAATATGTCATTAGCCTTCTTGGCTACAAGGGCAAACTGTTGACTCATATCCAGCTTCTCATCCACTGTAACTCCCAGGTCCTTTTCTTCAGAACTACTACTTAGCCAGTCGGTCCCCAGCCTGTAACAATGCTTGGGATTCTTCCGTCCCAAGTGCCGGACTCTGCACTTGTCCTTGTTGACCCTCATCAGATTTCTTGTGGCCCAATCCTCCAATTTGTCTAAGTCACTCTGTACCCTATCTCTAGAGCGTATCTATCTTCCCTAGAGCGTATCTATCTCTCCCTGGCTGTGTCCAGACTCGGGTTTTTTCGAAAAAAATAGC